TAGGGTTTCGGCTTACGTGGTGGTTTAGTGGGGTGGAGATGGCACCGGAGGAGCGAATTGTGTTCGCCGACGCGGGGGAGGAGGGTTAGGGCGCCGGCCGGTGGTTAGGGGAAGGTTTTTTGAGGGAGATAGGGGTTTTTAGGGTTCGGGCACGGTGGTTCAAGGGAAGGGGAGGAGCAACGACGGGGCACCTGGTTGGATTTCGTGTTGGCGCGGGGGTTTTGGTTGGTTTTCGTGCCGACGCGGGGTCGGGGTTCTGATTGGATTCTGCGCCGGCAGTGGTTGTCGGGACAGGGTGGTGGCTGGGCATCCACCCCTCTGGGTGCCTGGGTTTTTATTTTATTTATTTATTTATTTTATGATAATAATTAAATAATTATTTTAAAATTAAATAATACTTCCTCCGTTTTTAAATACTTGCTCCATTTCTCCATGCGCGGAGTTTTAGGAGAAATTAGAAAAAGTAATAAAATATGGAGGTAGTGGAATTGATGGAAGAATAAAAAATTGTAAAAACAAAAGTAGTTGAGATAATTGGAGAAGAGAAACTATGAAATTAATAAAATTAATATGAAAATTAATAAAATGGAGCAAGTATTTAAAAACGGCCGGAAATGAAAAATGGAGCTAGTATTTAAAAGCGGGGGGAGCAATTTAAAAGGGAACCAATTATATGTTGCCACGTGGCATCATTAGCCTTAATGACTAATGGTGTTAACGTCCGTTAGTTATAATGACATGTTGTGACATTTTCATAAAAATGAATGGTATATGGTGAATTTGAAAATTTTTGGTGGTATGTGGTGAATTAAGCTAAAACTCAGAGGTATATGCTGAAAAAGCCCTAGAATTTTTTACAATTCACCAAAGAAAAATACTTCCTTCGTTACGTATTATCTGCAACAAACCTTGTTGCACGTTTCCTAAGATAAAATTTGTTAATGGTTAATTAACAAAGTGAAGGGTGTGTGATTAAGGATAGGAGAGAGAAAGGGGGGTAATTAATTATTCAAGGGCCACCACTTCCAACTGCCATCCTCTCCCCGACACCACCAGTACTCCACCAATACCACCAGTACGCCACCAACACCACGAGAACACCGCTAGTACACCACCAACACCAGTCACCCTCACCGTAACCACTCTCTCACCACCACCACCCATCCCGTAACCACTCTCTCACCACCACCGTGATACGAAATCCTACCATAACCACCCAAAATCCACCCCAAACAACTTGCACCAACACCACAACCCGTAACCCAGTCAACACCACCAAAATCTGAAACCCGAATGCAGCCAATTCGCAGCCACAACCAAGATCTGAAACCCCTCCATAACCACCGAAAATCAACCTCAACCAACTCGCAGCCACCACAAAACCAGTCTTTACACACCTTTTCACCACCACAAACCCTAATCAATTTTTAGGGTTTTAATTTCGAGGAGGATCGCTGGCTGTAACTAGGGGAACAAGAGTCGGCGGCGACTTTAACAAGGGAAAAGAATCAATAGGCGGTGGTTGTCAGAGAAGAGAGAAGAAAGAAGAAAGAGAAGCAATGTTTGGGTTCGGGGTGGCTGGTCGGAGGTTTTCTGGGAATTTTGGGGCGGCTGCAATGGAGTTGAGGTGCTCAGAGGGGTTCGGGGTTGTGGGCGGCCGGCTGGGTGGAGGATTTCGGGCAGGGCTCGTGGCTGCGAGTGAAGAGAGAGAAATGTAGTGGCGGTGGTGGCGGTAGCGGTGACGGAGGTTAAGAGGGAGGTGAGAGAAAACTTGGTAATGATGGTGGTGGATGTGGTTGTGAGGGAGGAGAGAGATTGGGATTAGGGTCTAAATTATGAATGAATTAATTTATGTTAATATGTTAATAACATATAATCTTATTCATTTAATGTGGGTTATTGGAATTCAGTAAGGGTAGATTGATCATTTTTTTACAAAAAAATTTACCATAAATAGAAATATTTACTTTGTTGCACGTGTAACTTCCGTTTTCAGAAATTGTTGATGAAACGGAGGAAGTATAAAAAATTTGATGTTACCAAAGAGAATTATTTTGTTTTTGTTTTTTTTTTTTTAAAGCTCACAATTTCTGGAGTAAAAACATATAAAAAAAAAAGATAAAATAAAATAAAAAAAGCTGGTAAACATTCTTCAAAAAAAAAAAAAAAAAAAAAAAAAAAGGCTGGTAAACACCCCAATCAGAAGAGAGAGAGAAAAATGGAAGTTCAAGTGGTGGAGGGTAGCGGCAGCGGAAGCGGCGGAGCAGCGTACACATTGAAAGCAAATCGATACAGCAACGAAGACATACTTTTCTGTATTGATGTTGACACCGAAACTTTGGTTGAAATGAAGAACACTGGACCCAATGGACGACCCATTACCCGACTTGATTCAATCAAACAATCCATTCTCTTATTCATCCATGCCAAACTCACCATTAATCCCAATCATCGTTTCGCCTTTGCTTCTCTCTCTAATTCTGCTTCTTGGGTATTTCTCTAATCTTCTTCTTCCTTTTCCAATCAATTTTTGGCTAGAATTTGATTAATTGTTCTATTGTTTGGTAATTTAGTGTTTTATCCAGATGGGGTGGGTCCGTGGGTGGTTTGATGTTGTTTGTTGATTGTGTTATTTGAAATTGATTGAGGGTTTTTGAGAATTTTGTTTTCTGGGTTTTAAAATGCAGTTGTTTTTGTTGCCCAGGTAAGAAATTTTGAAATTTTGTACTGTGATCAGAAAGGTTTTTACCAATTTTTGTAATGCCTCTTGCTGCTTGCATTCTGTTTTTCTCAGGGATGGAGTGGGTTTGGAGGGTTTCATTCAGCCATAAGGGTATTAATGTATTGTGCAGAAGTTGAATTAACCTGTTGTTTTCTGTTTCTGAAGGTGAGAAAGGAATTTACAAGTGAAGTTGATTCTGCAATTGCTGCATTCCGGGGGTTGTCTGTGAGCTCATCAGGAGGTCAGGCAGACCTTACCCAGTTATTTCGAGTTGCTGCTCACCAAGCCAAAAAATCTCGGTCTCAAAATCGAATATTAAGAGTGGTTAGTGACTAAATCAGTTCAATTATTAACATTGAATTTGAAAAGTTTGATCTTGTGATTGCTTGTCAGAAATCTTTGCTGATGGATTGTGCAGATAAACATGAATCATTAATATTTTGTCAATATTGATTTTAAATGATTGATTAACTCATTGTTTACTACCCATGTTGCATTTGGACTGGTTTTCTGGATTATTTTGGGTTACTTTTGTTATTGCTTGCTAGAGTTTGTATAATTGTATGTTTGTAATTTACTGAACCGAGCCTCTTCACTTTTTTGTCCATTGCATATTGCACAATGGGGGTTCACAAATGGGTCTTACATGCTTTGGCTGCTTCATGATCTTGTTTCTGCCTTCTTTCAAACTTGGAAAAGTCTCAAAACTTCGGCATAATCTATCTGGCTTTTTGGGAAATTCAGAGGGTTTTAGACTTCTAGGACAACATTTGTTTAGATTCTGTCCGCAACTTGTTTAACTCATCAATAAATCCCTTGTCATGCCTTTAGATCTTGCTGTATTGCCGTTCATCTGTGCAACCACAATTTCAGTGGCCTATTGACCAAAAGCTCTTCACTCTGGATGTAATTTACCTTCATGACAAGCCAGGACCTGAGAATTGCCCCCAAAAAGTTTATGATGCTCTTGTAGAAGCTCTTGAACAAGTTACTGAGTATGAGGGTTACATCTTTGAAAGTGGTCAGGGCCTTCAACGCATTCTTTTTCGTCACATGTGCTTGTTGTTGTCACACCCTCAGCAGCGTTGCTTGCAAGATGACCTTGATTTACCCATGTCACTGACTAAGAAATTGCCGGCAACTGATGCTGCGCAGGCTGAAGATACCATCACTGTGTCCAGCCAATGAGAATGTTGATTGACTAGGTAGTCCGGGCATTTAGCAGATGTTTTGAATATTTGTTGTAGTTGTCATCTTCAGACATTGTATCATAGTTAAAAAGAGACAGCTTCTGCTTTTTTGATTTCCATGTACTAAGTTGTCTAGGCATCCCTGTCTCTGTTTCTAAGTTGGCACTATGTAAATTCTGGAGTTTTTTATTGATGAAGTTCAGCAAGTATAATTTCTAGTAACTTCAAATGATGTGCATTAGTATATTTCTATCAGTGACCCAGTATGATGTATTGATGTTGGTTAGTTGTTCTTGTGAGTGAATTAAACTTGCTAGGTATAATTGGAGGTGACAAGCATATCATTTGACTCAATTCAGCTCAGGTTATATTATTATTTGGATTAGGTCAGGTCAACTGCAGTTTGAGTTGAACCCGGGTCATTTGATTTTTGAGTACACTTTAGGTCTTGATTGGGTTACAGTATATATGAGGCACCTAGGAAAGTAACTGCTTCCAACTTCTTCAGAAAAGCAGAAGATAATAAGGATTATAGAGCTGTTTACAAGGGTGAACTGCAAAATCTTACCAACCCTTGGTTTTTGTTCCAAATTGTAATTAAGATACATTGATCAGTCTCCTCTGACTTTGGATTATCATCAATTAGTATATTAAAATCTCATAAAAATAATGTATTTATAACTAGAATATCCTCTGATACACGTTATAGCTGGACTCTGTTTCAATATTTTACTGCAATTATTGTAAAACAGTCCTCTATGACTGAATTTTAGCAACTTTACAAACAATTTAAATATGCAACAAATATCTATTGTTAGTAAGACTACTTCCTAAAGAATCTAAACTTGGATATTACCAACATCAAGTATAGTAACAAGGATACACCAATCATATATGTCTACATCTGAATACAGTATGAGCATGAGCAATTTTGACAGTTGAAATAAAAGAAAACATTGACAAAAACATTAGCCCGAATACAGTGTTATCATAAATGGTTTTACACGTTATGTATGAGACTAAAAGTATATTCCGTATAATACCAAAAACGAATGGATTTCAGACAGACTTACATGATAAATATTGTGCAAATAAGAATTGCAACTTGGAACTTATAAATGCGTTTGGATAGAAGTGGTTATAAGAATAACACCCTTTTAATTCAAAAAAGGGCAGTTCTGTATATTTTATAGTAATTTATTTTGTTTTTATCAACTTGCTACATTTTCAATTATATCCAGGGGGAAGTTTGCAAAATTTTAAGACCTTTATTTATTTATTTATCTATTCAGAAATATATCTGTGTAAGAATATAAGTTTTTCATTTTTTCATAACATGGGAATCAATCTATCAACTTCATCTATTCCAGATGATACAGAGGGTCTTGGAAATGTTATCTATGATCAAAATGGTATATATTATGATAACCAGATTATATCTGGGCTGTCAGTTTATACTAAACGAGGTGGCAAGGCTGTTAACCAAGATTGTGCTGTCCTGTGTCAGGTACTTAATTTGTTACTTTTATTTCTTTAATTATTTTTTTTTTTTATTTTGTTTATACAAATTCTTAGTTTTTCCCGGGTTTACCTAGCTCTAGCTGTGTCCGGGAACAGGATAGAGGTGCTTATTTTTGTTTGATTTACTTGTGAGCATTGATTTAAGATTTGATTATTGATACATAAAATCGAAAAATGGTATACCAACACTTTTGTTTTGAACTGCACATGCTGGTTGAGCAGGACTGCCCTATCGCAGAGTTATTAGCCTGACCCTGTAGGTAGCTAGCTCTGTCCCCCTTGCACATATGCTTCCTCCCAGGTTTGGTCCTAGGTTGTCCCTGTAGAACATGGAAGCTGTTACCACTAGACTTGAGGATGTTCAGTCAATGATTATATGGACTATATATAGAGTTAGAGATATCAGGAAAACAAAATTACTATGCTTATTGTTTATGTAATAATAGGCTCAGTAGTTCCAGGTTGATAAATATTTAAAGAATAATGAAGGGCTAAATCCTAGTATATATCAGCATAACAGGTTTCAGAGTTCTTGCAATGATCACTTCACTAATTAAATTTGTACGTAGTTTGAATATTTCATATGATGTGAAGGTCTTATTCAAGGATTAAAGACTCGTAACAAAAAACCATGCATCAAAATGGTTTCTATTCTCATTTGATATATGTTTGTCAAAATAAACCTGGGCTTTAGCCGTTTTGTTTTTTTATTTGAAGGGCTATGGATCAGAAAATGGTGTACTTTGTGGAGTATTTGATGGTCATGGGATAGAAGGTCATCTTGTGAGCAAGGATATTAGTCGCCGCTTGCCATTGTTAATACTAAAGCAAAAGATTGCAATGTCAGGGCCACAGACAACAAGTAACAGCGAAAGTGATCAAACAACAAATTCGGGTTGTTCATCACTAAACAACAGCAAGGAATTCCTTGAATGGAAGGAGGCATGTATAAAAGCTTTCCAACAAATGGATGATGAAGTGCTTAAGAAGGTGCTTTCAGAGAGGCGCGATTTTTTCAGTGGAAGTACTGCAGTAGTGGCTCTGAAACAGGTTTGTTACAGTTACACCAGTTTTAAGCCAATATATAAAGTATGCAAATCTTCAAAGTTGAATATATACTATACTATATATATTTGTTATATGATTTCTGGAAGTAAAGCATATTATTTTGAGTAGAGTGACGATCTACTCATCGCGAACCTTGGGGATTCAAGGGCTATTCTAGGATGCAAAGGAGAAAGTGGAGTTACTGCTGTTCAATTAACCACTGATTTAACGCCTGGCATACCTGGTGATTTAGCAACTGATCAAAATAAGGCCTTTTTTTTTTTTTTTTTTTTCTTTTCTTTTTTCCCTGCATTTACTGTATGAAAATAGTTAGTAGATACATGTATGAAGCATTATTTACTTTTTTGACGTGTCATGTAGATGAAGCTGATAGAATAAGAAGGTTCAACGGCAGGGTGTTGGCAATGAAGAACGAACCGAATGTCAAACGAGCGTGGTTACCTCTTATTGACAGACCTGGCCTGGCTATGTCTCGTTCCTTTGGAGAATTTTTGATGAAAAAGTGTGGCATAATCTCTACTCCAATAATCACTCGTCACCATATAACTCCGAATGACTTGTTTATCTTGCTTGCTAGTGATGGGGTAAGATTTTCTAGTCTTAATGGCTATTGCACTTGAAATTATTTCAAATCTAAACATGGCACTCTTAGCTTGGAAATCAAATATCATATATTCGAGGTAATTACAGATATGGGATGTCTTGAGCAATGAGGAAGTAGCATCAATAGTATGGGGTGTACAGCAAGAAGAGATGGCCGCAAAAGCAGTTATAGATGCTGCAGTTGTAGCATGGAAGAAGAAGTTTCGATTTGACAAGCGTGACGATTGCACTGTTGTCTGCTACTTCCTACAGAAGAAGGGTCAGAGTCATCAGACATCAGCAAATCCAACTCTTGAAACAAAGCTCCCATAATCATAATTCATGGTATATATTTTAAACATTGTACACAAAGTACAGTACAGGTTGTACTTAAGACCACTCTTTGTATGTACACATTAGTAACCCTGTTAATTGATTGTATAAGGTGATCTTGACTCGAAACAAAGGACTCGAAAAAGAGGTTTTACACTCAATCTTTTGTGGTAAGCAAGCTTGAAGAATGAAGATTGGGGTGTGAAATTGATAAATCGTTTTGAATGTGTACAGATTTTAGAAAATTTAAGACTCTATCATCTATTTCCCTGTAAGTTGTAACAAATAGAGTAGAGTATGAATGTGCATTGTGTAGATATATTGTAAAGGTCTTGTGGCAAAGTATAGTAGTATGTGTTTGTGAGTCAAATCGATTCCTTTTTATTTCATTTTCATTTTCATTTTTGGTTAAGTTGGTAATTACATACTGTTCAACGAAAGCGTGATCAAACAATATTTATTCAATTCGAGAATTTCTACTCAATTATCTCTTAATTAATTAAGAAAATTCCGTCTTTTTAAGATCCCTAAAATACCCCGTAATATGAATTTTAAGCATATAACGGCTACATACCTATACAATTTTGAGCCTGGATATGTCATGAATCATGAGGGATTTATGACCCCGTAGCAAAATGTTATACGTCTTTTTTTGCTTGTTTTATTAATAATAATAATAATAATAATAATAATAATAATAATAATAATAATAATAATAATAATAATAATAATCAAGATTACTCTTAATTATGTTGTTTAATTAATGAAAATTTCGACCTTTTCATCAAGTAGCAGCTGTTGTTTAATTATTTGATTAATACTATTTTAGTCAGACTTTGTATTATATTGTTGCTAGTCAGCAGCTGTTGGCCAGGTGTTTTAAAAAAATGAATGACAAATCTGCCACTTGATAAAAGAAGTTGACCAATTTTGATAAATGAAGCAGGTAAAAAGGGAACAAAATTATAATATTGATAAAGTTCCCAATTTGCTGAAAATAATGGACTATTAATTTGTATTGTATACAAATATGGGATTTATCCTTCCAAAGTTCCAATTAATTTGGCAACAATAATACAAGATGGGTGTATGTATTACTTATGCATTGGACTGTCCCCCCACCCCAATCCAACCCCAATGTTGTTGCATAATTTGCGAAACCATATTTTAAAGGATACGTTCTTTTCATCTTATAAAAACAAGTCGAGTTTAGTTGAACTTGAGAGTACTCAAGGTTCATCCAAATTTCTATGAGGCAGCTAGAACCCCGTTACAAGAAAATAATTAAGCTTTACATAACTCGATGTCTCGATTGTAACAAGGATATTAACATTAATTCCCTAATAGATTATTCCAAATTCTGATAAGAGATCTGACTTCTTATTAGATCTGACTTATTGTTAGGAGACCTTTTCTATACTAGTTAAGTAGAAAGGGATAATACAAATTAATGTAAGAATTATTAATTAATTAATAAATAAAAGGGCATATATATTATACATGTCTACACCTCAACTTGCATATTAAGGGACCATTAATTGTTGCAGTCCATCAGAAAAATTAAATTAGAAAGAATGAGCCAAATTAACTGATAATTAACAGGAATTTGGACCGACCCTTTTCAGTTTTTGGTAATATATACCTTCTAGATCTCTTATATAATCTTACTTAATTCTAGGGAAACATATAAAATAATGCAAAGACTTTATAACAACATAAAGTTTATGCAAAAAAAACTAAGAATTTCCTAAGATTTTTGTAAAATGGGGGGTACTACATCATCTCCAGTACTTCCTGAAGGTCTAGGAAGTGTTGCTTATGATCAAAATAGTATGAAACGTAATCAACAGATCAAATATGGATCAGTTCATACGCAGCAAGGCGGTAAGGGAGTTAATCAAGACAGTGCTGTTCTTTGTCAGGTAATTTCTTATCTGTTTTTTTTTGGTCACTTGTTATGTTTGTTGTTTCTTTTGGGGAGGAACTCTTGCTCAATCTCCAGGATTTTGATGTTAAGGCACGAATCGTGTTAATGGGTTCTACAGATCTTGTGTCTTGAGATTGGCTTATCACTGCTCGTTTCATTTCATATGTCATTATATTATCTTGCATATTTTTAAGTTATGAGTTTTGAGATTTTGTAAGATGTTGGATGAGATTACTATGATAGTATGATGCATTTTAGTTTGAGATGAAACAACTGTTAAGTCTCTAATAATTAGTTCGAATTTGGTAGAATTAATTCAGGATGATCCCCAATTGAGTATGGCTGATATAATATTACAGAACAGGGTAAAAATGATATATTGATAGAGCATTTGTATAATTAGAAGGCGAATTATCGAAAAGATAAGTATTTGTATGATTATACCATGATTATCTGTCTTCATTTGTTTTTAAAGGGTTATGGATCAAGAGATGGTGTATTTTGTGGAGTATTTGATGGTCATGGGAAAACTGGTCATCATGCGAGCAAGGCTATCAAATACCGGTTGCCATTGCTACTACTTGATCAAAAGAATGCAGTGTTGTCGTCAGAGGCTAATGCGAATAATTTAGAAACTCAATCATCAACTAACAGCAGTGATTCATCACCAAACATTGAACTCCTTAAATGGAAGGAGGCGTGTATCAATGCCTTTGATGCAATGGATGAAGTGCTTAAGTCAGTGAAAAAATTCGATTATTCTTTCAGTGGAAGTACTGCTGTAGTAGCCCTGAAACAGGTCTGTTACAAAAAGACATAACATTTATGTAAACTTGATTATATGTTGTTTAACATGGATTTTGACAATAGAAGAATTTTGAGCAGGGCGATGATCTTCTTGTTGCTAACCTTGGGGATTCGAGGGCTATCCTAGGGACTAGAGGCGAAAATGGAGTAACAGCTGTTCAATTAACCACTGATTTAAAGCCTGGCAATACTGGTACATAAGCAAATATGTTTTCATTTTCGGGTTCTTTTTAGGCCTTTTACTTGTTTATCAATGTAGTTATGTTTTCATTGAAATTGTTATGTAGAGGAAGCCAATAGAATAAGAAGGTTTAAAGGTAGGGTGTTTGCATTGAGGGATGAACCAAGTCTACAGCGAGCGTGGATGCCTCATGCTCAAAGTCCGGGGATGGCTATGTCTCGCTCATTTGGAGACTTAGTTATGAAGCATTATGGCATAATCTGTACTCCTGTATTCACTCATCACCACATAACTTCAGATGACCTTTTTATTGTACTTGCTACTGATGGAGTAAGCTCTGAGTCCTTTTAATTTTCTTACATTCGAGTAATGTGATGTAAAAGACGAGACTGATATGAAATGAAACCTGTTTGAATTACAGGTATGGGATGTCCTTGGCATTGATGAAGTGACATCAGCTGTATGCAGCGTAGATGATGAAAAGATGGCAGCAAAAGCAGTTGTAGATGCGGCTGTTGCTGCATGGAAGAAGAAGATTCCACACGACAAGCGAGACGATTGCACTGCTGTTTGCTACTTTCTACAGAAAAAGAATAGATCTGGTACAAGCTCACCTACCTCTTGAAAGATGAGGTTCAATTCATTTAAACTATCATCATAACAAAGGTTAATAGCCGCCTAACCGGCCACTTCACTTAAGGTGAATAAACCTTAATACTTTAGGCTACTGACATTAAATGTGTGGAGATCAGTAACCCTACTGACTAGCAGATAAGGTGATTTGGGCTCGAAATGGAGGGATCGGACTCAAAGGATTGGTTTTTCGCTTGACTGTCATGGCTGAACAAGCAAGCTTTGAAGATTGTGGCTTGGAATGGAAGGATATTGCTTGGAATGAGAGACATTTAGTCTATTTTTTATAGAGGGATTTGAGGCTTTGAATTATCTGCTTCTTGAAGCCTCTAATCTCCTCTATCAAAATGGACTGTTAATGTGCATTGTGAGGTCTTGTGAACAAGTATAAATGTACATGTCGGATGACACCAATGCTTAATTGCTGCCCTTTTTTTTTTGCATTTCATCTTGGGAGACCTTACAAATGTGATTAAGTTTAGTGTCATTTTCGATATTATACTAGTTTAAACTTGGGTTATGTATGTTGTGTTGGTTATTACATATGGCTCAATGTAAGCATGATAACGGAGTCATGGGTTCAATCTGTTGGACTCGAGGATCCGTGCTCTGAAGCATGAGCTTACAGGTCTGCAGGATATTGCATAAAACTATACAAGCTTGACGCATTGGACGTGTATGCCGTGAATTTAGAGGCCGTTATGCCGTGGCAAAAGGTTATATAAAGCCTCCTTTCAGAGCAAGTTAACCTTGTTTAGTTTCTTTCATTTACTGAAGGAAGAAATTGGGAGAGAACAAATTTAACTTGTTTAGGAATTCTTTCAATTTTAGTTTATTTTATTTTATTTTATTTATTTATTTTTTTTTTTTTTGTAAGCAGCATCTGTTATTTTGTCCTGTAATTGTTATTCATAATGCTGTTAGAATATTAAATTTGCTTTCTTATTGATGCTTTTATTCAGCTTCCTTTTATGTTCGAGTCAATTAATTTTCTTGCTTTACGTACATGATAGCTTAAAAAACCATTATAAATATATACTCCGTAATACGGAGTATTTTGTATACTTCTTTAACACATTTATATACGAAGTATTAATATTTAATGTGTTTAGGAGGAAAGTTTTAATAAGCACTTTTAGTGGCTCTCCCGGTTGTGTATACATATATGCAACTTGTGACTCAACTTATTCATGTGTGCCACAAAGCGACCAAGTGGATAAAATTGATGACAAATGACAGACATTTTACCTTCAAACAAAAGAATATGAGACAATTATATGGGTTGTTATTTTGTTAAAAATAAGTTTAGTAATCATGCAGTTATGATTTAAGAGTATTTGCAACCTTTATTTATTCAACTAGTTCTACTCCCCTTCATAGTATATTGTGCACTTGTGTTTTTTTTTTTTTTTGGAACACAAATAAAGCCGAAATATATTAAACCAAATCAAGCTACGTCAAGATAGTGATGCCTTGGAGGAAAGAGTCAAGAAATACAAATTCCGAACCACTAGGGGGGGGGGGGGGATAATCTTGCTGCAAAATGAGCCACAACATTACCATTATGCTTAACATGATTGGTAACAAAAATAGAAAAACTCTTCCCTGCTTCCTTGATATTTTCCAGCACCAGATCAAGAGGAGTTCTGCCCCCCTGTTCCTGCCTTATAGCGTTGAGCCGTTGACAACAGCAAGCGCATCCCCTTCCACTTCAACATTGAATCGAGTCTATTGTTTTGAGTCTTTTTAATTTGGATTGAATGGGACAAATAAAATAAAACGAAGACAAAATTAAATCGAAGTTAAATTTTTCATTCGTGTATAACATATGATTTTTTTTAAAAAACTATATAATGACGTTGATTAGGCTATGTTCACTCTAATTATTTGGGGAACCTAATACTAAATTTTACTTTGTATTCAAATTAAATTAGATCAAATTAATATAGAATTAAGACTAGATTATAGCTAAAGAATTAAAATTTTGTACGGGTACTAATAAAAATTGTATTTTTGAAAAATATAAATAAAATCGAATTTAAAATAATAATAAAAAAAAAAAAATGATGTGATAAGATAGCTTTAGAGTATGTTTATCTAGCTTTGTGTTTATCCAAAAGCAAAGTTCATTGAAACACCTAGCTAAGTAAGACCTATTCCTATTATAAATCCAAGAACGGATAATTACAACTAAGCAACAAGTTCAACAACTACATAGTATTATTGTAATTAACAAGACAAATCATTCCTACATGGACACACCTCATTTAAATATTTAAATATTTTTAATTTTATTAGGGGTCATCATCAATCATAAACAAATATAAAAGTAATGAAAAACAAATAAAAAGCCAACTTGACTAGTTTAAATAAACGACCTTTTTTCATTAGTTAGGTACTTTTTATTTTTTATTTTTCCTGTTATATAATCTACATTTTAATTAACTTTTCGAAATTGCAAGACTTTTTGTAGTTCATAACATTATTTCACATTTTGTGTAGGAATAATAAGTTAGATTATATCATACTATACTGTAGTTTCACATAATTTGTTAATTTAATGGGGGTGAGTGCATCGGCTCCGATTTCGGTTATTCCAGATGGTCTTGGAAGTGTGATTTATGATCAAGATGGTATGAAAAATAATGATCAACAGATCAAACCTGGATTTTCTATTCATTCTCAACGTGGGTGTAAGCCTGTTAATCAAGATTGTGCTGTTCTATGTCAGGTATTACTAGTTTTCACTTTTCAGGCATTTTATTTGGTCAATTTATGCATACATTATGAGATTGAAGATCATTTCTTTTTTTTTTGCTTTCCATTATGTCTGTAGAATAAAATGGAGTTCATGGCATACCCGAATGGCCGAATGTAATTTAGAATTTGTTACATTCGGATGTATGATAGAAAATTTTAGTGGAGTTGCTTTTTTTAGAATGCTTTTGAGCTAATTGAGATTTTTAATTTTACTTTGAGTGATTTAGTTATAATACTTTTGAGTTAATTGACATTTTTATTTTTTGAGAATATTGCTTAAGGTTTTGTGTTTTGTGAATTGTTGATGGTATATCGAGTTTAGAATTGCGAAAACACAATATTCCAAATTGTAAAAACATAATAGAAATAAAATTAATAGTCGCATAGTGACATTAAGTCTTCGATGACTCTACATCATTCATTGGTATTAAGTTATACCAAGTATTTTGGTACTAGGGTGATATATCATCTAAATACAATTTAATACTACCGAACATTATTAGAGTCCTAAAAGACTCAAGCTATTAAAGGCTAAGTATTTTAATACATAATTACAAACATACAATTATTGATACAAAGTAGTTTGAGGTTATCTTGGTCATGGCCTAAAGTATGTGGTAATCCCTTCTTGGTGTACCTAACAAAAATTTAGAGATAAAACCATTGATTAGGCTACTAATCATCATCTCAAATGTTTGGTTGAATTAGTGCTCATATATTACCAAATTTTAATTTATATCTTACCTAAAATCTATACTATTTTATTTAATTCGAACCTAAATTAAAATCTATACTACTAAAAGTACTTAATTAAAAGTTCATTTTTAATTCCCAAAAAGTGGTGATTATGGGGTGGGATGATGCATATGACTCGGTTGGTCTGAAGAATATTATAAGCTGGGCGTACTAGTCTTTCGGCTTGTGCCTCGTGCGCATGTGCAAGCATGTTAAAAGGCCCACCCAATTACATGGTCTCAGCCCATATTTGCTCTTTATTGAATATAATTGCTCTTTATTAGTCCCTTCCATTTAAAATATTATAAAAATGTACATGGACCAATTTTTATTTATGACATGGAAATAATCAACAAAGTACTAAATAATATTAATTGTGAACCCAGACATTTGGATAACTATCAGTCTAGTTATTTGATGTTAATACAATTATTTCATTTTGAGTAGGTATTTTTACAGTAGTTATAAGTGTTTAGACCAAGTTCAAAAAATTCATATTATATAGTTTTAATGAAAACGGTTTTACTATTATCAAAAAGAGTCGATGTAAGCCTAAAATGGTATCTCAACCATTTTGTAAAAGAGGTCAAATTTTTTGGATATAAGGCTAATATATTCACTTGTGACACCCTTTGACCCAAGCATTTTTTACCCTTCTATGGCAACCACTTATGACTCAACCTTATATTGACCCACACCGGCCATAACCCAACGCGCCCAATAACCAGGTCTACCTTCATCCAAAGAGTTAACGACTCTATCAACACATTGACAACTATAACAAGGATATCCTCTTTCAAATAATACTTTACTTACAATACTAGCATAAACTAGCACTTGTATTAGTTTACAAAATCTTTCCTAGCCAAGTAATAACCAAAGTCTTTTCTGTTTTAAAGGGCTATGGATCAGAAGATGGGGTACTTTGTGGAGTGTTTGATGGTCATGGCAAGAACGGCCATCTAGCAAGTAAGATCATCAGTCGTCGCTTGCCTTTGCTATTACTTGACAAAAAGAATGCAGTTGCGGAGGTGAATGAGAACTACTCCGAAAGCCATTCAAGTAACTACAGTGGCTCATCACCGAACAATGAACTCCTAGAGTGGGAGGAGGCATACATGAATGCATTCCCGGAGATGGATGAACAGATAAAGATGGTGAAAAAAGTGGACTTTTCTTTCAGTGGAAGTACTGCAGTTGTAGCTCTCAAACAGGTATGAATAAGACTAATTTTTTTTAAAGCATTCATCTACTGAATAGAGTTGTCCCTCCGTTCCTAAGAAATAGGCCACATGACACGTGTACGAGTCACATTATTTTTAAGGAATCGAGTTATATAACATATCATAAGTTTATCCGTCACAACTGAATTTTTTACATGTCTGAAGAATGTGAAACTTGATAAATCTAGGAAGTGGCCTATATTATTTCTTATAACAACGATTTGAAATAGAGATACGGCCTATTATTTAGAATTGAAGCTTGATTATACTTGTATTATTTTCTGTTTCTGACATGAAGTTTTGTGTAGGGTGATGATCTTCTGATAGCAAACCTTGGAGATTCGAGGGCTATACTAGGAACAAAATCAGAAGTTGGAATTACAACTGTCCAATTAACCATTGATTTAAAGCCTGGCACTCCTGGTAATTAATCAAAATTATGTTTACAAGTCTTTGGTTATTTTCTAACAGAAAATAAGTCCCTGTTTTTTTCTTCAGTATGGTTGTATTTATGTGTATTGATATGTTATGCAGATGAAGCTGATAGAATTAGAAGCTCCAACGGTAGGGTGTTCGCCTTGAAGGATGAACCAGGTGCTCCCCGAGCATGGTTACCTCGAGTTTACACTCCAGGGATCGCAATGTCTCGTTGCTTTGGAGACTTTGTTATGAAAAACTATGGCATAATCAGTACACCAGTTATAACTTATCACCAGATAACTTCTGACGATGTCTTTATCTTGCTTGCTACTGATGGTATATGGGATGTTCTTAGC